AAACATAATAATAATATTATTACTAAGAAGAATAATAATACGAATAAGAATAATACTATCAATACGAATAATACTACTAATATTAAAAATACTAATCAGAAGAAGACGAAAACTAAGAATAGCGATATTATGAATAATACCAATACTACTAATACTAATGAATAATACCATACTACTAATACTAACGATACTATGAATAATACCAATACTACTAATAATATCAAAAATAATCATAATATGTAAAAAGAATATTGATACTAATAATAAACGTAATAATACTAATAATAAAAAGAATATTAAACCATAATATAGTAATACTAATACTAGTAGACGTAGTATTCATAGTAATAATAATAATAATACTAATAATAAAACTCATAATAATCATAACAATAACAGTAATACTAATAAGACTAATAATAAGACGTATCATAATGATAATACTAATACTTATACTAGTACTAACAATACTACCAATACTACTACTACTACTAATAATAATAATCATACTAACAATAATAATGAAAATAATACTAATAATGATAATATTAATAATCGTAATAATGATACTACTAATAATAACAATAACACAACTAATACTAACAATAATAATACTACTGCTAATAATACTACTACTACTAATAATGCTAATACTAATAATAATACTATTACTATTATTAATACTAATAATAAGAATAAGAATAGGAATAACAATAATCATATAGTAATAGTAATACTGATAATAGTAATACTAATATTATCAATAATAATACTAATAATACTACTACTGATAATACTAATAATACTAATGCTAATACTGATAGTAATAATAGTATCAATCATAATAATAGTAGTAATACTAGTAATAATAATAATAGTAATAATAATACTAATAATAATATTAATACTAATAATCATAGTAATAATAATAATAATCATAATCGTAATAATAATAGTAATAATAGTAATAATAACCATAATACTAATAATAATGGTAATGCTAATAATAATACTATTAATAATATTAATAACAATAATAATACTAATAATAGCAATGATAGTAATAATAATAATATTAATAATAATAATACTCGTAATAATAATAATACTAATGATAATAATAATAATGAAAATAGTAATAATATTAATATTAATAATAATAATACTACTAATAATAATACTAATACTAATAATAATAATGATAATAATACTAATAATATACGAATCATAATGCGAATCATAATACGAATAATAAGAACAATCATAATAATAATATTACGAAGAAGAAGGAGGAGGAAGAGGAGGAGGAGGAGGCGGAGGAGGAGGAGGAGGAGGAGGAGGAGGTGACCGGTGCCTCCCGACGCAGGTTTTCGCATGGTGCAGGGCCTCCAGGGGGCCTTCGCGGCGCGAGCGTGGTCGGTTCGGACGCGAGGTTTTGAATAGTGTAAGGGGCCTCCTGGAGCGGGAGCGCTGGTTCTGAACGGAAGTTCTCCTCCCGGAGAAGTAGTCGCTGGACGGTAGGTGTCGCATGGTGCATTGCCTCGAGGGCGGGAGCGTGGGCAGCCTCCCAGGACGGACGTTTTGCATGGTATAGGGCTTCCGGGTCGCGAGCGTGGGCGGTTTCGAAACGAGTTTTCGCATGGTGTAGGGCCTCTGGGGGGCTCCCGGGGCGGGAGCGTGGGCGGCTTCCCTGGACAGGAGTCTTCGCGTGGTGTAGGGCCTCCAAGGTGCGATCGCGGACAGGCGGGAGTGTTCGCATGGCGCAGGGCCTTTGGGAGCCTCCCGGGGCGCGATCGCAGGCAGCCTCCCAGGGAAGCTCCTGGAGCTTCAGAAGCTCCTGAAGCTCCTGAAGCTCCTGAAGCTTCTGGAGCTCCTGGAGCTTCCGGAGCTCCTGGAGCTCCGGAAACTCTCGAAACTCCCAAAGCTTATGAAGGCCCTGAAGCTCCTGGAGCTTCTGAAGCTCCTGAAGTTCCTGAAGCTTCCGAAGCTCCAGAGCGTCAGGAGCGTCATGAGCGTCAGGAGCGTCGGAAACGTCAGGAGCGTCAGGAGCGTCGAAGCTCCTGGGGCCCAGAGCGCCAGGAGCGTCAGAAGCGTCAGAAGCGTCAGAAACGTCAGAAACGTCGCGAAGCTCCTGGAGCCCACAGCGCCAGGGGAGTCAGGAGCGTCGGAAGCGTCGGAAGCGTCAAAAGCGTCAAAAGCGTCGGATGGTTGACGGCACCGCCTGCCCCATCAATCGGTTTGTGGCCTCGGGAGCGCGAGCCTGCTGTAATTTACGAGGGGGTGTGTCCCCGGAAGTGCGACTATGCTGTATTTCCAGGTGTCCCAGGCCCCCCCCCCAGGAATTCAGATTACTTGATTTGGGAGGTGGAGCTGCGCGGTTTTCGGTCTCCCCAAACTCGCGCGGTCTTCAGCAAAAGTGGTAATGTAACAGAGGACATGTAATAACATGGGAGCTCGAACTGATGCAGAGAACAAAACAGCCTAGTCGCAGCTCGTTGGTTCCCAAAGGGGCCAGCGGGTTTCAAAGGTTGTGGCCTCGGGAACGTCAACGTGTTGTAACATATGATGGATGATGCTCTCGGGAACGCGAATCCGGTTTACTTTGACGTGTCGCAGCGTCCCAGTACAACATTTGAAGCCAGGAGCTATGTTTTGTTGGGTTGGCATTTCGTTGCATGGAACAGGAGCACATTGGCCTCGCAGCCTGTTGGCCCCAAAGGGGCCGGCGGCTTCGGCTTCACTGTGACATGTTTGTCCGTGCTCGGTCTCTCCTGTTGCTGCTGTGAGCGGTCCCGTGAGTTCTCTCTTGGAGCATGCGTATGTATGGAAGTCAACCTTTTGGTATGTCATGTGTGCTACGTGTACCACGTTGTGAGAATCTGGCTCAATCTATTTTTGTTGGGCCTCTCCCTCGGCATGCGCGATGCGGAGGAGGGTGGGGAGGAGGAGGAGGAGGAGGAAGAGGAGGAGGAGGAGGAGGAGGAGGAGGAGGAGCAGGAGGAGGAGGAGGTAGAGGAGGACCAGTGTAAACCAAAGATGCATCACACAGTTCCTGGGACTTCAGCGACGCGGTTCAACGTGATTGCTACATCCTTGCAAGCTGAAATCGTGCCCTAACGCCGTTCCTGGGACTTAACACCGCGAGTCGGCGTGATTGCTGTGTCCTGACATATATACATCAGGGACATAATGTCTGTGGCTTCGACCATGCGAATCGTTAAACCTCATGCATTTTTGTCAGACGAGGGTGCGCAGAGCTATGGCGAGAGCCAACTTTCGAAAAGGAACCACCCTCCATATTTGAGCCTGTTGTGAACTTTCAAGACGAAAAAGCGCGGCGCGAAGGCGAGAGCCACATTTTGAGATGGAACTGTCCTCCATCCTTGAAGGTGTTGCAAACCTTTAAGACGAATGTGCGTGGCGCTCACGCGAGAGCATCATTTTGAACACGATCCTACCTCCATCCTTGAAACTGTTGTGAATTGTGTGCTTCAGGGTAATACATGGCGACGAAGTCTCAGGCGAAACGCCTGGCCCGCCCTACCGGCATGTGCGGAGGTGTGACAGGGAGGAGATATTCATAGGGAAGAGGAATGGAGGTGGAAGGGGAGGAAGAGGAGGAGAAGAGGAGGAGGAGGAGGAGGAGGAGGAGGAGGAGGAGGAGGGGGGGGAGGAGGAGGAGCAGGGGGAGGAGGAGGAGGAGGATGAGGAGGAGGAGGCGAGGAGGAGGAGGAGGAGGAGGAGGAGGAGGAGGACGAGGGGGAGGAGGAGGAGGAGGAGGAGGAGGAGGAGGAGGAGGAGGAGGAGGAGGAGGAGGAGGAGGAGGAGGAGGAGGAGGAGGAGGAGGAGGAGGAGGAGGAGGAGGAGGGGAGGAGGAGGAGGAGGAGAGGAGGAGGAGGAGGAGGAGGAGGAGGAGGAGGAGGAGGAGGAGGAGGAGGAGGAGGAGGAGGAGGAGGAGGAGGAGGAGGAGGAGAGGAGGAGGAGGAGGAGGAGGAGCAGGAGGAGCGGAGGAGGCGGAGGAGGCAGGAGGAGGAGGAGGAGGAGGAGACGAGGAGGAGGAGGAGGAGGAGGAGGAGGAGGAGGAGGAGGAGGAGGAGGAGGAGGAGGAGGAGGAGGAGGAGGAGGAGGAGGAGGAGGAGGAGGAAGGAGGAGGAGGAGGAGGAGGAGGAGGGAGGAGGAGGAGGAGGAGGAGGAGGAGGAGGAGGAGGAGGGGGTTATATATGTATTGTATATACATGTTGTACATGTATCCCATTTTTATGTATACGTTGTACATATATATATATATGTATAGTGAGAGAGAGAGGGAGAGAGAGAGAGAGGGAGATAGAGAAAGAGAGAGAGAGAGAGAGAAACAGAGAGAAAGAGAGAAAGAGAAACAGAGAGTCCGTAGCAATTTTGGCTCAAGGCCATGGGTCGCCCGACGACCGCGGGTCCTTCGTGGGCGTCCTCCAAGGTACGACTTCTGCTAAGCTTTCTCGGCCGCGGTGCGCTGCCCGCTTCCTCCTCGCCTTGCTGGGGGCGCTCTCCTTCGGACAGTGGCTGCAATGACGCCGAAGGGAGGCGGTTGGGGCACGTGGCAGCGGCGGAGCTGGCAAACACAAAGGTGGCAGCGGCGGGGGTAGCCGTGGGCCACGCAGCCTGGGATCTGGACCGGCAGTACGTGCGTCAGGGAAGGCGCCCTGGTACTGCAAGACATGCAGCGAGCCCAGTGCCAGCGGCTACCGTTTCATCAATTTCGGGGACCGCATGGCGTGCAAGCTGTGCAAGTGCTCCAATGGGACGCACTTCGCTGGGTCGCCCGAGGTGTCAGTGCCCTCCTTCAGTGCCCAGGAGTGCGCCAAGCTCGCGGATGCGAGGAAGGAGATCAAGCTGCTCAAGGCCAAGCTGGTGGACAAGAATCAGCAGCTTGCAGGTGAGGAGGCGGCCAAGGGCACGGCCCCCCCTTGGCGTGATGGCGCGGGCAGTGCGCATAAGCAGCGCCTTGACGTCGTCACCGCGAAGCTCAGGAACATCCAGGACATGGTGGACTCACTCGACGTCGGGGAGGTCGAGCTCCGAGAGTCGCTGGGGGCCACCAGGGCCGAGCTGGAGGTGGAGCAGGTGCAGCTGCGTGCGTCAATCTTCAGCTCCATGCCCAGGGGCGCGCAGCTCAAGAGCATCTCGGACCACATCAAGAAGGTGGAGAAGCAGGTCGAGAAGGGCCGCGCGGAGCTGGCGGCGATCGCGGTGCAGAAGCGCGAGCTGGAGGCCAAGGGGGGGGCCTTGCGCCGAGCCAGTGCTGAGCGGGGCCACAAGCTTGCGGAGCTCAAGACGGGGCTGGCGTGCGTCGTGGGCATGGCCCCCGCCCCTCCAGGCGGGCTTGGCGCTGACCCTGGCGGCCCGGTCGTGGTGGGCGGGGTTTCGATCACGGCGGGCTTCCTGGGGCGGGTGCTGGGCAGCTTCCACGTGGGTGAGGCCACGCGGCGCGCCATCAGCGAGCAGGTCCTCAAGCTCGAGCAGCAGCGCAGAGACACCCGCGCTGGCGCGGGGGCTGTGTCGGCAGCTGCTGAGGTGAAGGACCGCGCAGAGGGTGCAGCTGCGCCAGGCGCCCCGAGCGCCGTGCCGCCTGCGGCTGCAGGGCGAGTGCCCGCCCCAGGAGAGGGCGCCCCTGCTGGCGATGTCGGCGTGGGCGGCGTCGAGCTGGAAGTGGGGGGGCAGTGCGACATGCTCAAGCGGATGGGCCAGGCGCCGCCCGCGCCCGAAGGCGCTGAGCGCCCTGCTGCTGATGTGATGGCCGCGGCCTAAAAGCGCTTCTGGGATGGCGCTAGGATGCTGCCGCCCAAGCGGCAGCGGAAGGCAGCCTGAGGGCATCGTTGACGCCATGATGATGTTTCTTGAGAATGAGGACGCCTACTACAGCGAGCTGTGCGCGGCGAAGGAGCAGATGGGCAGCAAGATGCACGGCTGTGGCTTCTGGGGCGGCGCCATGCAGGCGGGGGGCAGTGAGCTGGTCGGCGACGACGCTGCGCTGCTTGGCGGAGCGTACGGCCTGCACGCTGATCCTGGAGACGTTCCTCTTCAGGGCCCAGCCCCCAGGCGGGGTGGTCGGGGTGTTCGGCCATCAAGGGTACGGCCCCAGGATGTCAGATTCGGCTGACCTGGAGCTTCCATCCGAGAGGCAGCCGCGGGTGTCGGCCCCAGGGTACGGCCCAGAGGGAGGGCGGAGGGATTCAGCCCCTCGAAGTCGCAGCCTCTCCCTCACATGTCAGACTCGTGTTGGGCCTCCTGTAACGTGAGCGACCAGCGGGACTGCGAGTTCGTGGCTCTTGCATGCCTGCAAGCGTACCCTGCGCGCTGTCCAGCGCGCCCCGCGCGGAGCTCGAGCCCCCCGCTCGCCCCGCCCCCCATCAGCAGGACGGTGCCGACCGCCTGCGGGGCCCAGGCGCGGCGGCTACCTCGGCCGCTCGAGCCCCCCTGGCCGCCATGGTACGCGCGCCGATGGCGAAGGGATGTCGGCTGACCACGGTCAGTCCTACGTCGTGGGGGCCTCTGGGTGACTACCTTCAGATGGCCGGTGGGGGGCCCGCGCTGGCGTTGGCGGTGCAGGGGCGCCGCCGTCTGCATCTAGACCTGGCGGCGCAGCAGAGGGCAAGGGCGCAGGCTGGCGTGGAGTCTGGAGTGCGGCGACCTCTTTCACCTACCTGCCTCGGGCACGGTGGGGGGAGTAGCTGTCTTGGCCCCGACCTCCGTCTAGGTCAAGGCCCCCCACTGGACGCAGCTCGCTTGAGATCCTGCCAGGCAGGCTGGTAGCAGGGCGCGTGCGGGCTTGCCCGAAACGGGCATCGTGATCCTGAGTGTCTACCTCCATGACGGGGGGGGCCTCTCGGCCAACAACCTGGGCATCCCGTGGCAGCTGGCACAATGCCTCGGGCACCTTGAGGCGGAGGGGCACCACTGGGCAGTCATGGGCGACTGAAACATGGGGCCGCGGGTCCTGAACTTCGGCTGGATCACGAAGCTGCGAGCAGTGGTGCGTGCAACGAGTGCGCCCTCTTGCAGGCAAGGCGGCGGCTCTCGGATCGACTACTTTGTGTGCTGGCCAAGAGCATGTCGGGGCTCTCCAGCCAGTCGGCCCAGCTGGGCCTCGGCGCCAGCACGTGGCCGCACTGGCCCGTGCACCTGGCCCTCGCCGGGCTCCAAGCGGTCAGCTGGCAGCGGGCCTCATCGAGCCCGCGGCGATGCCCATGGAGGCAGCCCCCCCTGGCTGCCCGCGTGCGCCCTGGCGCTGGGGGGGGGGGGGGTCATGAGGGCCATCTCGCCAGTCAGCGGCGACGCAGGCTTGCAGGGCATGTGGGACCTACTCCTCGTGTGCATTGAGATTGAGATCCTGGCCAGGAGGCGGGCGCGCGGCGGGCAGGGACACTGAGGGTGCCGTGGAGCTCGTTCGGCGCAAGGCCTCCTGGCGGGCCCCGCGCAAGAGGCGCGCGCGTGCCACCCGGGCGCAGGCGTGGGCGGCGGCGACGCAGTGGGGCCGCCTCGCCAATGCGCTGCGCGCGCTCCGCAGCGAGCCCATGGACAGGATGGGCCGTCCCAGCAAGCTGCGGGAGAAGCGCCTAGCCGCGGGGGGCGCAGCCATCGGTGCGGTGCACGGCCTCCTGCAGAAGGTGGGGGCCAGGGCCGCTGGGCCCACCTGCCGACATGGGCCCGGGGGCCCTTCCAGAGAGGCGGGGGCGTGTTCCAGGGCGCCGACTGGGGCAGTAATATCAAGAGCCGAAGGGAAGAGGCAGGCAAAGCTGGTCCCCCAGGCAGCCCAGGCGCGGTGGAAGGAGTGGACCGAGCAGGAGCCGCGCGCGCCACCTCCAAGGTCCCTGCTTGCCAGGAGGTAGTGCAGGCCTGCGAGGGGAGCGACGGGGGTGCCGTCGTCGAGCGGGAGCTACGGCCCTGGGGAG